GGAAAATACGGAAAGACGGTATACGTAAGAGAAAACAAAGACTTATTTTCTTACCGGTTCTTTATCCAAAATCGTTGGAGTTTTTGCTCCAGTTTTCTTAACGCCAACTTTTGCTCTTGCAGCCTTTCGAATAACTTTCAAATTCTTCTTTAATTCCAATTTCTTTTTCGATGCCAGTTTTTCATCGGTATTTAATACATTTAAATATCTCTTTACCGTCAATATATGTAAACAATCTATAACAGACCTAGCTTGTCTAAATACTTCACAACTGCATTGAGAGAAAGGATATTTGAATAAATTAACATTGTAAACTGTGCCATCACTGCTTTGAACCAAATATGTCGCTAAAAGAACACGGTTAGTTTAACAGACATCAAGGTGTCAGTTTAACTCTGTACACGAGACGCGCTAATTAGCGCTTTTTGAATAACTCAAAGACGATAAAAAGCTGAGATTGGAAGTGTTCAGCAATCAAAAAGAAACAGTTTTGCCTAAGTTTTCTTAAGCAAAATTCTTTCGGAACAATATTCGCTTATAGATCGCTTTTCTAGGCGATCTTTAGAAAACCATTTCGAATGTCTGGATACCCAGATACCAATCTATCAGTTTTTTTTCATCGGTATATAGTCCAAAGTGTCATACTTCCTGCAATTCAAGTCGACTTGCTACAATGGTTCATGTCGGCTCGAACCAGTCAAATTTTTTCCTGAATAATTATGATCAACACGTTTTTTTCTGCAGTTGAAGTCGACTTGAACTATGGGTTATGTCGACTTCAGTTGATTGTTTCAATATGATTTATTTCATGGAGATTTGATCACAATTTCATACTAAGTAATTTGCGTATCTTCACTTACCAAAATATGAGTACACAAATACTAAATAAGCCAACCATGAATAGTAATAAACATTTTGGGAATTGTACATTTTCATGTAAATGATTGATAACTATTGCGATAACACTATATAATGATAACACAATAGGTAGATGACGTGTAGGATATTGCATTCTAAACGAGAAAGCAAACAAAAATCTTTTTTTTTTACAACATCTCTTTTGTTAAAACTAAAGCACTGTTTATGTCGAAACGATACTTTTGTTAACGAGCAAAACATTCAGTATTTCGAATGCTACAAAGTATTGACTCTCACAGGCATCAACTGACCTCTTCAATCTCTTATAAACGTCATCCTTTTTACAGCCGTTCTTTCGGACATAACGAACACGAGCAATAGATCACCTTTAACAACACAATCAGATACAACACATTTTGAACCGTTAGATAATTCTATGTCAACGTTGTTTAATGAGAATATGTTTGTTTATGCATTGTGCCACGTAAATAAATTCAATAATGAACCGTCAAAATATACCTTGTTATCTGGATTTATATTTTTATATTTAACGCATCAACAACGACCTCCCTCAATATTTTTTTATGGAAACCCAATCGATATGCCAGCCACAGCTTCGTCGGCTCCATTAACCATTCTAAGTCTGACGAAAAGTGAATTTATTGAGAGTGGTTATCAAAAGAAAGCTGTTGTTGTTGTGGATGAAAATATTTATGCTTCGTTGTTGAAAGAAAAAGAGCGAGATTGCTTAAGCAATTCACCACAACAGTTTAAAGATATACTGTTATGGCCTGGCGATTGTCATTTTGTAAAACATTTATTTATAATAATTGGAGAGTTCATCAGTGGATCAGGTATGCACAAACTTAAAAACGCGTTGTAAAAGATTGCGTGCAAACCCACCCACCAAAACGTTCTTTTGTTCATGGAGGTTTAGAATATATTTTCCAAGTGCTACATGATTTATCTGTTGTAAATGGTATTCTGGGAGCATACAATGTCGGTAGAACATTTCGTGCATATACAGTAAAGTGCAAAAGTCTTTGCCCCACGCATATGCAAACTTTCTTTAAGCGTATCTCTGGAATTTCTGGAGAGATTTTTCGAGAACTTTCTAGAAGGTGAGGAAAGACCTATATATATAGCTGTGAATACCACAAATCGACATAAACATTCTTCAGTTGAGAAAAAATGCCTCGACAACGAAATCCTACTTCGCTGAAAACGAAGCGATCAACTATTTTACACTT